ATTACATCTGTCGTACGACAAATTTTTTAAGCGTGTTGAAAACTTTGTCGCGCGACAATATGAAACCACACATAGAAAAATATTATTGTACAGTCAAGAAAAGTAATTACTCAGTTTATTTTATTCCGTTTAAGTAATAGTTTGCTTCAACAAAGAATATTTTCTTAATAATAGTTTTAAGATATACTTGTTACTAGTCTTAGAAAAGCTTGCCATCTTATACTCAAAGAAAGAATTTATTCTTCTTTGAAGAAAATTATAAAACTTATTGAAGAATTCCGTATGCTTATTTTAATAAAATCAGAAGAAACAAAATTGTTTTGCTTCAAATAATTCTATGTACGAGTATACTTGTTTCAAGTACTAGACTTACTAAGAACCAGAATATGTTTTGAGTAAATATAACACTTGCGACGACATTATGATAGATTTGCGGATATATAAACTTATCAAATACTTGGAACAAATAATATTTACTTGCAGGTAGTATATATTTTTCTGTGTGCAGCCTGAAGCTAACGGTATACGATACTATATATTTTTCCTACTGGATTGCTTACGAGAGCCAATCAGGATTCAGCCTTAAATCACCTGATCGAAAACTCTGCATCCTGATTGGCTCTCGGGGATGCTGGAGTGATTCTGCACTTTTGCACCTTTCTAACCTAGAAACTATCAGTTCGTGGAAACACTTGTGTAATATACAAATTAAATGACTTACGTGTACAGATCGAAAACAGCTTGCTATTCCGGCTAAATGAAAGAACAATATGGCATCACTGAAACTAAGTTTGTAAGTCTAATAAGAAATAATAGTGAGCAACACACACATACAGTACATGTGGTATGTGTGTTGCTCACTATTAATTTTTATTAGACTTACAAACTTATTGTTAGTTTCAGTGATGCCATATTGTTCTTTGATTTAGCCGGAATAGCAAGCTGCTTTCGATCTGTACACGTGAGCCATTTAATTTGTGTATTACACAAATCTTTTCACGAAACAGACAGTTTTAAGTGCAAAAGGTGCAAAAGTGCAGAATCACTCCAGCATCTTTTTACACTTAAGTGTCACTTACTGAGTCACTCAGTTATGTGAGTATTTTATACTCAGATATGACGTCATTAATGTGAGTCTATTAAACTCATTAAAGCACACGGTCTTGATCGTGTGCAAAAACTCTGTTAAATCTGGTTGAATCTCACTTCTCAAGAATCAAAAGGAACATGCATTCAACTGAGTTATGACGTCACAAGTGAGATTTATCTGAGTTTTCATGTAAAAGGAAAGCAATTTATAACTAGTTAGGTCCACTCCGTAATTTGTTTCGTTTTGCGTCGATCCCTTCTGCGCATCCGACATTGTTCTGGGCAGACCAATGAGAGAAAAATTGTACGTGTGGTAGTGTGGCTTTGATGAGTACGCATACACACACACATACACGTTGCTGGATCCTGTCCGAGTGCATGGCGGAATACCACGTGATCGGGACCGCAGATCAAAGGGTCCAACAGAGAGTGGACCTACTAGTTGTACTATGTATCCTAGTAGGAAAAATAGCGTCGCGTGCCGTTGGCTTAAAAAGAAAGTCCTCAATTCTGCTCAAGTTCGACCCTTAAGTTTAGAAAATAGATTCCTACGTGTCAGTCGCGATGTACATACATACACTCTCCACCAATCCTATTTTCCTTCATTTCAGAGCAAAGATCCGATCTTTTTCCGCGCGGAGTCTCCAGAGAGCGTCCAAATCCTGGACGTCTCGTCGTCCGCGCTCGCTCGAGAGCGCTGCGTCGATCATTCTCGGACAACGGGGACTCGAGAGGGTGAATGCCAGGATCCCGCCGGAGATTTCGCGGACAGGTTCGCCGAATCGGCGGAAGGTACCAATGCGGCGATATATCGTGCGGCCCTGGCAGCAAGTACGTTGAACCTACGCCTATCGACGCCTGCGTAGTCCTCCCTCTCATCCATCGCTCCTTCATCCTCCGCCGCCCTCTCTCGTTTCGTCTCTCCCCCTCCCCCCCCCTCGCCTCGTTCGCCGTTCACCACGCGCCGTTCACCTCTCGTCTTCTCTTTCATTCTCCTGGAGATTCGCGCTCTAGTGACTTTATTACACCGCAGGAGCACTCGCTCGCCACCTGGGCAGGCAGCATGGGCAGGGGGATGAAAGATATTAATTTTCCATCGGCTCGTTTTTCGACGTATCCCTGCCGATATTCGCCGCTCCTCGGGCGATATCATGTTTCATCGCGAAGGAAACCCCGGGGCGCGGTGGAAGGATAAGATCTCGTCGAAGATCGATAAGCAGATAGCAACCGGGGAATAGACAACCGCCCGGAGTCCCGTAGGACTATTTCGTGGAAACATTCGCCTGGCGGCCCCCAACGGTACAAACGCCGTCGACGCCAAGAGTCATTGGGGGGACATCCGGATATGGTACGCCGGGTGACGCGTCGGGCGACCATGGGGACCAACGTCGGCATCGATCGATAATCGGACGTGTCCACAATGAATATGCACGAGGCGATGGCAGGTGCGATAATTGGCGGCTACTTATCCTCGGCGCGAGCACGTGCTGGCGATCGAGTCGTCGTCGTCGTCGTCGTCGCGACAGCGAAATCAAATTACGGAGCCGCGAATTTCGCCCGAAAGGGTATCTATTGTTGCAGGGAAGAGAAGCGAGAGGAAAAACTTCGTTACGCCATCGATTGTGTTCGCACTCCGGGATTCAATGAGCGCGTGTCGCATCGTTAGCGCGAGGGGGGAGGGTAGGCGAGAGGACGAAGGCGAGAACGCGCGCAAATGATGCCGGCCATCGCCGCAGGACGACGATTATCTCCCTTTTACCCTCG